GAAAGTGCCCAGTGGAAAAGTACCTGGGGGTGCTGGTGGGCAGCCAGCTGGAGAGTGCCCAGGTGGCCAAGAAGGCCACCAGCATTCTGGCCTGGATCAGCACTAGTGTGGCCAGCAGGACCAGGGCAGGGATCATTCCCCTGGACTCAGCACTGTGGAGGCCACACCCTGAATCCTGGGTTCAGTTTTGGGCCCCACTCCCAGAAAGTCCTTGAGGGGCTGGAGGAAGGCAATGAAGCTGGGGAAGGATCTAGAGCCCAGGTGTGGGGAGGAGCAGCTGAGGGAGCTGGGGGTGCTGAGCCTGGAGCAAAGGAGGCTCAGGGGAGACCTTCTGGCTCTGCACAGCTCCTGACAGGAGCCTGGAGCCAGGTGGGGGTCGGGCTCTGCTCCCAAGGAACAAGTGCATAGGAGAAGAAGAAACAGCCTCAAGTTCTGCCAGGGGAGGTTGAGGTTGGACCTGAGGAACAATTTCTTGACTGAAAGGGCTGTCTAGGGCAGTGGTGGAGTCCCCATCCCTGGAGGGGTTTCCAAGCTGTGGAGATGTGGTGCTGAGGGACACGGGGCAGTGGGGACCTGGCGGTGCTGGGGGATGGTTGGACTGGATGCTCTGAAAGGTCTTTTCCAACCCAAGGGATTCTGTGTTTCTATGGAAAGACGAGTGGAGCCTGGTGGGCTTTAGAGGCAGCTGTATTTCCCAGAGAAGCTCAGAGATGCCACTGCCCAACTCAGGCACTGCAGCCACAGTCTCCAGACCGATGGTCCCTTCCTGTTCCTCCCAGAGCTGGCACTGCCACCAGGATCCACCCAGCACCCTCAGGCTTCGGCCACGATCAGATCCCTGGTGACTTGGAACGCAGCAATGAGGGAGCTCAGCTGTATCTTCTCACTGGTCCCAGCAGCCAGCCGGTACCTGGAGCAGAGGGCCAGGGTGGTGTGGGTGCTTACACACTCGTGGGTGCTTGGAGGCTGTGGGTGTCTGCCACATGGGCCCCCCCCGTGGGGTGGGCACACTGGTAGCCCCCTGCCCGGGGTGTTTTGGGGCACTGGGTGAGGGTAAGGAGCCACTTACTCGATATCTGCCATTTTGATCAGCAGCTGGATGCGGATGGAGGGTGGGAAATCGACTGTGGAGAGAAGGACACGGTGTGTCAGTGCGGGTGGGGGGGACACGGTTGTCCCCTCCAGGATCAGCCAGGAGCCCCCACCTCTGTGCACGAAGAGGTGGATCTCGGTGAGGATGTCCTGCAGGGCCAAGCCCTTCAGCGTCTTCAGCTCCGTGATTTCTGAGGCGAGAGCGAGTGAAGGGCTTTTGTCCAGGCCTTTCCCTGCTACATCCCAACCTTGAGGACCCTCCCCAGCAAGCAGCACCCACCCCATCCCAAGCAGGAGGTCCAAGCCCCAGCAAAGAGGAGGGTTTACAGCAGCAGGTCAAAGCCCAGGGGCTGTGGAGGGGAAAGGATACTGCGGTAGGCGGTGGAGAAGTCCAGGTTCAGCATCCAGTCAAGGATGTTGGCGATGTCCGACTTCAGTGGGTGTCCCGTGCAGGTGTAGACGTTCTCCTCCGTCACCTTCCCAAAGGCCATGGTGGTGCTCTGAGGAAGAGGAGGGTGGAGGAAGGATGAAAAGCTCGGCCCTTCCTCCACTGAGCCCTCCAGGGCAGCTGTTGGATTAGATGAGAAGGTCACGGTCCGTACCTGCAAGATGTTGAGGGCTCTGCGCATGTCCCCGCTCGAGAGGGTCACCAGAGCCTTCATCCCATCCTCCGTCACGTCCACCCTGGAAAACCAGACCTGGGGCTGCAGACGGAGCCAGCGCTGCTGGGGACAAGTACAACTGTGGCAAAACCCAACCCTGCTGTTCCTCCCCAAGCAGGGCAAGGGGGACAAGGATCATAGAAGCACTCTGGTTGCAAAGGACCTCTAGGATCATCAGGTCCAACCTTCATCCCAGCATCTCCCCGACCACTCGACCATAGCCTCAAGTGCTGTATCTACTGTTTTTTTTTTGAGCCCCTCCAGGGATGGGGACTCCACCACCTCACTGAGCAGACTGTTCCAGTGCCTCCCCACTCTCTAAGGGAAGAAATTCTTCCTCATATCCAATCAAAACCTCCCCTGGTGCAACTTGAGGCCATTTCCTCTTGTCTTATCATCAGTAATTTGGGAGAAGAGACCAACACCAGCCTCACTCCAACCTCCTTTTAGGTAGTTGTAGAGAGCAATAAGGTCATCTCTCAGTCTCCTCTTCTGCAGACTAAACAACTCAGGCTTCCTAAGGCAGTTTTCCAGCCCTCTGTACTCCTCCTGGTCACACCTGATCCAGGCCAGGATGCTGGTGGCCTCCTTGGCCACCTGGGCACATGCTGGCTCGTGTTCAGCCAGCTGTCCACCAACCCCCCCAGGGCCTTTTCCTCCAGGCAGTTTCCAGCCACTCCTCCCCAAGCCTGGAGGGGTCACCGACCCTAGGGCAGGACCCAGCCCTTGGCCTTGTCAAACCTCACCCAACTGACCTCAGCCCATGGCTCCAGCCTGGCCAGACCCCTCTGCAGAGCCTCCTGCCCTTCAGCAGATCAACACCCCCCACTTAATTTTGTGTCATCTGCAAATTTACTGAGGGTGCACTCGACCCCCTCCTCCAGGTCCCTGATAAGGGATGCCCAGAGCCCCCCTCACCCCTCCTCCTGTATGATGTGCTGCAGCCGGGGCACCATCAGCTCCGGGGTGAGTGGGCCGAAGCGGAAGCGGGTGCAGCGGGACTGCAGGGCAGGGATGATCTTGGAGAGGTAGTTGCAGATGAGGCAAAACCGGGTGTTTTCCGTGAACTTCTCGATCACTGCCAAGAGGAGGGAGGGGAGGCTGAGCCTCGTGTGGGTGCCCACCCCTGTGCAAAGACTGGGTGGGGTCCCCCAGCACCCCTCACCTCGTCTCAGGGCGTTCTGAGCGTCCTGGGTCATGGCGTCGGCTTCGTCCAGGATGACGAGCTTGAAGCCTTTCCTTAAAAAGGGAGGAAAGAAAGGGGGCTCGATTTGCTCCTGGATGGATTGCTGGTGGAGAAGGGGGAGTAGGGGATGCTTATTCCCAGCCTGACCCCCCCCCAAACCCTCCCAGGGAGCCGTCCCTTCCTGTCTGGACCAGCACCGTTATCACTCAACCATCCCACCTCTATCTGCTCACTGGGCATCCCTGGCTCCTCCCTGCCCACCCCTGGAGCCCCCCCAGGCTGAGCACCAGGACAGGCTGTGCCGGCGAGGGGGTGACAAAGGGACAGGGGAATTTGGGAAGCGCTGACCCGCTGCTTACTTAAAGATGGTCCTGGTGCTGGCGAAGCTCAGGATGGGCCCTCGGACGATGTCGATACCCCGGTCATCGGAGGCGTTGAGCTGGAAGGAGACGCCGTGGATCCCAAGGATGCACCCGAAGGTAGGGGGGGACACTTCCCATCACCCCCCCATCCCATCCCCACTGACCTCCAGCACCATGGAGCCAAACTCCCGCTCCCGGTAGAGCTGCCTGGCACAGGCCAGGATGGT